GATTAAATGACCGGATTAATTGACCGGGTTAATTGACCTGTTTAAATGTCCGGGTTAAATGACCGGGTTAAATGACCGGGTTAAATGACCTGTTTAGATGACCGGGTTAAATGACGGTTAAATGACCGGATTAAATGACCGGATTAATTGACCGGGTTAATTGACCGGATTAGATGACCGGATTAGATGGTGTGTGTTGGTTCTCACCTGGTGCCTGCAGGTATTTCTGGAACATGCTCTCTCTGATGTAGCTCTGGTATCCAGCCTGGTTCACAAACCGACAGACGAAGCGGTTTTTGTGGACACAGTCAATCAGTATGCAAGTGCGCGTGTTTTCTGTCGCGTTCTCGTCACGCGGCTTCAGCAGCGCCAGGTTGCAGCGTGGATCGGTGCAGCAGTGGTCCTGGCAGTCCTCATCCACGGACACGGCCCGCGTGTCCAGCAGAGCCGCCCCATCCCCCACCGCGTCCTTCAGGTCCAGCACAAAGTTGTCGCGTCCGGAGCGGAAAGCTGCGCCGCATTCCTCCGCCGCGACGCGCCGCGCGCCGCAAAGCAGCAGCGCGGAGAAGGTCCAACAGAACCAGAACATCTCAGGCAGCTGGAAGCTCAGTGCGGGGTTCTGCTCAGACCGACAGGAAACCATCTGAGCCGCTCCTCAGTGGCGCGTCTCACCTGCAGCGATAAGACGCTGCTGACGTCATACAGGTGTGGCCCTGAGAGCGGAGCTGTTTTCAGTCACTCTGTTTATGCACTGGATTGCTGACAGGCCGAAAACAGTGAAGTCACCTGACGCCATGCTGGTACTCCCCACTCCCACGGAGACGCCTCCCAGTCCCTGGATGGACCAACCAATAAATCCATCTATTGCTGATGGATCCTATAGTCTGCAGACTAACGTTAGTCTGCAGACTAACATTAGTCTGCAGACTAACATTAGTCTGGCTATCTCAGACTGACATTGAATGAGTTAGCCACTGACATTGGGTCTAACTTGTTTAGTTTATTTTATGCAAATAATCAGATTTTTGTTGTAACTAAGATCAAAAAGCAAAATATCAATTTATGTTTCTGTTATTTTATCAATTAATGTGATTTTTCTAGAGTAGAAACTGAAGCTCTGTGGATTTATTGAATTAGTTCATTAATTTAGCTCTATTGTAAATCTGTCCGCTTTAAAGGCTGATGGTTATGACGTCATTCACCATCTGCAGGCAGGTTTAACAGACATGGACCTGTAACTCAGTCTGGATGGAAAATCTTTTAATTATAAATTAAATGTAATAAATACGTTTATTACATGAACATCATCTGTATTATTCTGATCCATGAACACATTCATTTTATTGTGATGGATTTAAATGTTATATTAGATGATTGATAGACTTCATAATGACTCTGTGATAGATCTATTTATTTATTCTAAGTTAATCTACTGATGCTATGAAACAGCCAGTCTGTGTCAAACTGATGAATTTTTTATTTTAGAAATCTGAAAATGGGAACATCATGGTTGTTCGATGCTGTAGCAGAGATTGTTTACATTGAGACTGGATTAAGTAAATTTAGATTTCAGAAACATGACTGATTCCTCCTTAATCTAAACCAGATCCAGGCTTTATTAGTCCGCTCTATAAAGTCTGGAACTAACTGCTAATCCAGACGTTTCGGATTAAAAAAGCTTCCTGATGGGAAGAGAAACGTCGACAATCCTGGAAAACAAAGTCCAGCGGATTGATT